GAACCACAACATGGTTTTGTGTTTTGTGTGTGATATCAACACAATTTAAATACCCAACGCCCCTTGCATGTTCTATCTATCTTCCTTGGAGTCAAACCCCTGCTGGGGACCTAGACTTCACGCGCGTCAACTGACAAGAATGTTAGTAAAAGAGCTGAAATAAAAGAATATAAAAGTAATGGAAATGAGTATATTGTTAAAAACAGGTTAAAACAGAATAGGTATTTTAGGTAGACGTATGTTCAATCCAGCTTACAGCCAGACTGAACTCGGGGCCAGACAAGTTTATGATATCAGTGGTAAAGCATTTGGGAAAAATGAATATTTATAGTAATCAGTTTTAGTTTGGACTTGCTGGAATGCAGAGATGGGAAGTTCTAGATGATATTGTAAGAGGGATGATATACTTTGGGAAAGGGATAGCCACCTGGTCATGCAAGATGTTGTGAAGCATGACCAGGCGTTGGTCAATACGCCGAAGGTTCTGTCGACTGCAAAGATGAGTATGGCTTTAAGACTGCACGTGTTCCACTTCTACAAAAAGAATTGCTTCCATGCAATAGCAAATACAATATCGCAGTTTGTATCAAAGAAAAATGCTGATAAAATCGAACCGATTTGTACAGCCGTATTATTGAAGAACTTCAATTTAGTTTGTACATATGATATATTGAGAGAATTATTTTAAGACACCAAAAGAACAACAGCGATTTAGATTTACTTTTGCCAAAAGGCTTTGTTGCCATTAGCAGAAACTATTTGCTGAAGTTGATGCTTTACATTAATCAAATGAAAAAAAGATAAAAAAACATTGACCTGTCAGCGTTTATTCAGTTTCACTTTATATTTCTTCTTATATGTGACAGACCATTACCATGGCAACCATGCTATAGGTATATCATGTTACATAGTGCGTGACATGATTTCCGATGCTCTCTTCAGTTCAAAGCGTAAATGTGATTTAAGAAGTTTGTATCTTTCAAATTGGTAAAATATAGCTATATATGATACAGCGGGGGCTGTCAGGCTAATGGGCAATAAAGCAAAGATTGATTAAGTGAAAAAAAACACATTTTGTTTGAGATAAAGACGTCGAGCCTTACCATAAAAAAACTTATCATACCGATTTGTATATTATTTCGTTGTATTTTATACGCGTTTTTCTGCGTATATACTATATAATTAGATAGTCGTCCATTGTACAAGCCTATAAAGAACGGCCCTCAGAGCAATGTTGATTGGTCAAGAACAGCGCAGCCAACTACAAGCGAAAATACGACATGACGTAATTCTATAGTGGCTGGTTTACACCATGTCGTATTTTGCTCTTTTGCAACTTTGTCGTACCTTTTTGTCTTCACTTTCTCAATACAAAAAGCGATAGGACTACAAAATCAGCAAAAATATGACGGATCAAATGTGTTGTGTTTTCGCCTCTTATTGTCATATTATTGTGTTTTCGGGTATTAAATTTTTACCTTATTCGCATTGTTACATTTTCGCTTAATATCTAGAGGATTCATATTGAGAATTTAAAAACTACTGTCAATAAAAGTAACAAAGTAGACATCCGGTTAGGTTACAGAACGTTGGTGTTCTAATCGAGTGCCCGTTCGAGCCTGAAATAATGCACGGAAGGCCACGTCTTCCTCCGCCACTAAAGCGTTAAAGTCGTCATATGACCTATACTGTGTTGGTGCTACTTATAACCCCACCGAATAATATAAACTAATAAAATGAATAAATAAATGAATGAAAGTGGGGAAAAAGAAAAAAATAAGAAAATCTAAAATTAGGTTTCTGCATTTACTTAACTTCTGAAAACTGGGATCTGATTTTAACAAATCAAAATACGCAAACAACTGTTGGTAAAGGGCAGACACACAATAAAAATAGGCCTACTGATCTATATATGACTGAATTTCAATTGAATCTTTCCTCGTGTGACTAGGCTATATTGTAGTCTGTAGTTATATGTGGGCTGCTAAATGAAAACCAATTATTTTTTACGCAACAGCAAATCCTTTGCTGGCAGATGGAATCAAATTTAGATGTAAGCGTGTAAGCGCCATAATTTGATGCCAGTAACGAAGTTGTGACTCTAAATATTGTTCTGAGATAAATTCCAATAAATAATAATTAAAATAAATTGTTTCACATTATTACACTTACAGTAAAATCTGTGATGTTACAGAAGACATCTTGTGTAGAAAAACCAATACTTCTAAAAGAAATACGTTTTGTACTATTTACATGGAAAAGTTCATTACTTACATTCTGTTTAAACTAGATAGAATTGAAATATATGTATAGGCGCTACAAATTCACGCTTTTTGGGTGACATTTTTTCACCTCTCAAAATTGATTTAGTGGAGTATTTTGTTCAAGCAAATACATTTATTCCATGCAGTTACTACTTTGTGTGAATTTTGCCAACTTCGCCATTCCTGTAATTATTAAAAGCTGTGCGCTGACAAGATATACGTTGTCTTCATATATCACGGAAATATACGAAATATGCCGAACTTACACGAACTTACACGAGCTTATGATGTATCTCCAAGTGGATATTGTAATATAAAATCAGAGACATAGAAAACTTCTCTGGTAAAATTTAATTAAATATGTATACAAAAAAGATAAAGGCACATTATACCTCAGAAATCCTTTTTATTTGAAATTCTTTAAAAATGGATAATGCATTTATTAGAGTGAACTATGTTAGATGTTAAACAAGTGAAGAAAGTAGCACTTGTGCGGTAATGTGCCGTAAAAATAGCAAAATGTAAACAATTTAGTATTTTGACTTCCATACAAAATTCTAATTCACTATAATTGTACCAGTTGCCAAAAAGAGCAAAAGAAGCAAAGGTAATTCATCACTATGGCAAATGAGTATTTTTTAGAAACTGCAACAAGATACAAAATATTTCAAAAAAAGAAAAAAAAAGATGATAGCATTGCTGAGGCATAATGGGCCTTTAATATATAAGAAAGATCCATTAGGCCAGTGCAATATGGTAAAACAATGGAGCAATCTCTCCCATGTAGCTGTTGGCATTGTAGAACATTTAATTTTCATCTAGTTTGTCTTCGTAAATAACACGTATTCTCTCTTCATTTAAACATTTTCGGTACCTATTATTACATCAATCCATAAATGTGTGCGAAAGAAATAGTTCCACCTAAATTGAGGAAATGAATGATTTTAAAGAATATCTGACGTACATCTTAAATATTTACTCTCTAAATTTACACTCTTTCAGTGCCTGTTATTAATTCAATGCCTAAATTTGTGCGAAAGAAATAGTTTCACCTAAATTGAGAAAATGAATAATTTTAAAGAATATTTTCCGGTTCATCTAAAATCTTTCGAATACTAATACCAACCTAATTAACCTTAGCATAAACAGTATAAACACCTGCCGCTTTCTTTCACAACATTTGTCACGTAAACAAAAACGAGCTGTAAATTATAGAAAAAAGGAAGTGAACATGAAAATTACGTGAATAAATCAAATCGGTTTTAGCTGACTACAGCTGAAGAAAATGCCAGAAAAAATATACATGTACTATAGATACAGAATTGGTGAAATATTTTTTTTTCGTGACGCACATATGTTATTGTTTTAAATTCATAGATTGATGCAGGCTTTATTTGAATTTATAACAGTGAAGTCATTCATTGACAGAACTTTTGAAAGAACATGGTTATAATGTATTCTTCGTGTTCATGAATATTCAATTATATTTTAATGTAATGCTCCTCTTCGAATAATTCAAATCAGTCTCTAGTTTACTTGTTGTTTTGTTTTGTTGTTTCGTTTCCAGATTCCACCAATCAATGTCGTTATAAATTCCATTCCACCCTCGTCGCCATTTCTCGTGTTTCGTTATTTTTCGGCCCTTTCTGAAAAAATTCAAATAGATAACGCCAAGGTGTTCCGAATGACATGGGTTTTTTGTTGCTCATTGTCATGTGGAAGTTTAGGTAATGTAAGACGAAACATGACGTAGTTCTACGAACTTATCAGTATTGTAATAGTTTTAATTATATAGTTCAGTATCGACCGAATGCCTTTTTTCCCTCTGCGTTTTGCCGTGCGTCAGGAGTCAAATTAATAAACACTTTTTATTCGGTGTTCTAGCTTATTTATCGTTTGTTTGTTAGTTTTTTATTTAATTGTTTTTTGTTTTGTTCTGTTTAAATTATTTATTTCCTGCTTTCACCTGGAAGCTAAAGGACTGAAATTTCGAATTATAACGCTAGCTTTAAAAAGTGCTACAGGAGTTTGATAAAATTATTTTTTATTACTTTTTATTCATAAAGTTACCCCACATGTCTTTAGGACTTGCACCTTTACTGCCATTTTTTTTTAAAAATTGATTTTGATGTTGTTCATGGAAACATTGATCATTGATCTACTTCTTCAGTGAGTAACAGAACCTCATATGTAAGTTTCATTTTTTTATTATCAAAATTTGCTTGGGCTTTATGTCTCCCTTTTTTCTTATACGTTTAAATAAAAAGATATGCATGGTTAATTTGTTTTTGTCTTGGCTACGTGAAAACGAAAGAGAAAAAAACACTTATAATTGAAAGAAAAGAAGCAAGTAGAAATAACAAGTTGAGAAATGTGTCAAATTATTTATCGAACTGGTGTTAATTGAATTTGTTCTTCCAGCTTGAACCAACTTAGAATGTGACCAAAAGTAGATAGAAATTAAATTGTTGTTCACTGGCCTAATTCATTATTCATGCCGTCGCCTTGATTAAGTCTGTTAGGTCTGGGAACCAGTTCCAAACCAATTGTCAAACATTCGCCAATTTAAACAAAATAAGAATTAACGAATTAACAGTCTCAAATGATCCTGTTAAAATCAGATCAACTAAGGCTTCAAGATGATAATTAAAAGTTCGCGCCTTATATCGGCTTTTGTGATTTTGTTGTTCTTTGAGTTCTTCTGCTTTGATCGATAATTCCCGAAGAGTCTATTATACCGGCGAAATTAAAATATCGCGGTGTCATTGTTTCTATGGAAACGTGCTGTATACGTTTTCTGAAACAGGTGGTTTTTATGAAATTTCTATGGACAGTAATACTGTAGTTACTGGAGTAGATGTCTGGATAATTCACATGTTTACAGGGAGTTATGTAAATAGCCGAGGATAATAAGTGTGTCAATATACGTGAGGAATATGTGAAGTGTTTTCGGAAGTTGAATTCGAGGTAAGTCCATATAACTTTTTGAGAGTTTCACACACTGTACTATATAAACAATATATATTTAAATATTATTTATTATTATTATTTATATATACATGTATTTGTATTCTTGATATCACGTACGTCATGTCCCTTATTATTTCATATGACTATTTTATTGACAAATAAATAACACAGAGAAGTAACAACCTATTTCGCTAAATAAATTTCGGTCCAACTGTAAAACTAGAAAAAAGTTATTGGTATAGTCAGTCATATAAAACTATTATTATGGTATTTCAGAACAAAATCAATTGGAGTTTTCTTTTTGACCTATGAAATAAGATAAATTTATGTGCTTTTAAGCATATGCTAGTTATTGGTATAAGCACGCTATATTCACGTGAAAATTACAATAACAACAGAAACAACAAACAGAAACAACATTAAAATATAATCAGATGGAAAACTCGAGAAACCAAATGAAGCCTGAAACATTGACAAGAGTCGTCTGCAATAAGTTTTCTGACGATAATTTATCTGTCTAAACATAAAGGAGAAAGTTTAAGATGTCAACTTCCATAGCAATAACCATTACATTGTATTGATCATGAGGAAAATGTGTGTACTGGCGAATTCATAAGACAAATCCCGTCTTATCATTCAAAACAATGTTTTGTTTCATTCATTGACTGATTCATTCAGGAAAACCAAAACAAATGGATATGCCGTCATTTGCATATTGCAACAATTATTAGTAATTTGCAAATGCCGTATTCATTTCGTAATTTCACATTTGCATAAAACCTTCCCTCCCCAAAAAGATAAAAGGAATTAATCGCAAATATGACATTAAATTTAATGTACTATGGAACGCCGGATGTGTCAATACTCATTAAAGAGAATCTTAATGTCAAACATTATTTGTTATATACAAATGACTGCTGAATATCAGCCTTTGAAGACTCTGATAATTTCATTTTCTGAGCTATATAAAACGGATATTATTTATTTTAAAAGTAAGTAAATTGTATATTATTTTTTAATAAACTGTTTCTTAAATCTGTTTTTGGTTATTTTATTTTATAGACATTTTTATAAGATACGTTAGATTTCTCTACTTTTTATAACAAATAAACCTTTTTCAAACACATTTTACGTGTTTTTATTTTCTTCGGGTGACTGGTTTTTGTTTTATCATTCATAATCTGATCTTTGAAATGTCATTTGCGAGAAAATACAATGCACATTCAAATGTTAATGAATCTCGGAAAATGCCGATCAAATTTTTCGAAGAATAGAAATGGCCAGATTTTATTCAACTCTACTTGGCGTTAGATATCTGTCATTTTTCTATTCACCATGGTTCCGTTGTATATTATTTATAATATACCATTCAGACATTAATTATAGCAGTTATTTCCACATATTTACATAAATAATTATATAACGAAATCGTTCCTTCACAGTGAAATTGACCTTTTTACATTTGGTACGTGACTGCATCGGAAAATGAACTTTTACATTTACGTGATAGCACCGGAAAATGAACTTTTAATTTGGTACTTGGCTTCATCGAAATTGTCTCTTGATTGTACCGAAAATGGGCTGTTACGAGGCACCAAAAATGAAATTTGCAATTTGTCACTTGATTACTTATGTTACTTTGTGGCACTGAAATGAAAAAATACTTGATACTTTATTGCACCGAAAATGAGCTATTATGAGAATCAAAAATGTGTTACTTGATTGCACCGAAAATGAAATTTTACATTATTTTATATTTGATTGCACCAAAAAAAAATTTGAATTTGGTATTTGAGCAACGAAAACGAAATTTTACTGCCTTTAAAAAAACACTTGATTGAACCGAAAATGGACATTTGAATTTATTTTAATACTTACATGCACCGAAAATGAACATTTGAATTTAGTATTTGGTTGCATTTACCTATGTTCCGTGATTGCACCGAAAACGAACTTTAACATTTGTTACATGACTGTAAGGAAAATAAACTTTTGTACTAATCGGAACTGAACTATAACAGTTATATGGTTGCAAAGAAAATGAACTTTTCATTTGATACTTGCTTGCAACTAAAATAAACTGTTACATTTGGTATTAATTAAATAACACCGAAAAATGAATGTAATAAAACTTGCTTCGTATTTGAACTGTTTCATTTAGGTACTTGAATGCCATAATGTCATTCTTAACATATATTTTGATGTCATTTTAAACGTATTGATTTAATCAGTGGTTTCTTTCACTATGATTATATTTATTTTTACATGTATATCATTTATAGATTATACCTTTGCTCTCGTGTCTTAGTGCCAATATTACCTTTTCACCGTTCTATTAAACAATTATATTATATCTGGCCTCAGACCACAATTAATTTCACTATATGTTCTATATAAACATTAAACCCTGTGGCAATTTTACTAACTCTCCAATCAAATCAAAGTCACTTGTGCTTACAGTACCATCCAAGATAAATAATTCTAGCTATAGCAAACTAGGGGTCATTCATCATTTTTTCACAGCATTTCAGTTCAAAATACATCAGTCTGACAGTTTTCAGTAATTAGCCGGAACCATGTAAATTCTGTCATGTAGAAAAACACTAAAAAAATACTTACTCGCATAAAATCTGGATCAAAATTGGCATTTACCAACTATTTGAAATGAATTCTGTCAGGAAATGGCCTTTTTTTATCTCTTTCATTCAATTATTCATTTATATCTGGCATTAAACACAGGCACTCTTTTATGCGGATTTACTTCCTTATTGTGGTCAACGAAAGGCAAATAACTGTGGACTGATTCCATCTGTTTACTATTGCTATGTGTCACATTTACATTGATAACATTAGTCGCATCTTTAACTGAATTGATGTGTTCTTTTTCATTATGCAGATTTGAGATTGACACCAGAAAACAGGACAAATGTTACATCTTGAAACAGTTGCTGAGCAGCCAATGCACGCGGTTGAAGATATTCCATTGCCCGATAATAGCGAACCGTCTCCGCCAACCGCTAACGGCAAAACTTTACGAACAACCGACGACGGAGCACTGCAAGTTGGTGCCGAGAAACCACTGGAAGTTATTGATGAAAAGAAACAACCCCGGGTACCTACCGATATACCATTGCGAGTTATCATCGAGAAACCTTCGCATGAAACAAACGGAGTGCCCCTGTTAGAAATTAACCAGCAACCTTTGTCGACGATTACAAAACAACCATTACCAGCAAAACAACCGTTATCAGCAAAACAATCATTACCGGAATTACCTCGTAAAAGATCCCCCGTTGAAGAATCAGCTTCGATAAGAAATTGTTTTGCGGATAGTGAGTTCGCGATGGATCTGTCGCCCAAACAGAATCGGGCGATGGAAAGACATCCTAATTCTCCTACAATTGCCCGACCACCGGCGGATGGATGTGAAGTCTGGCACACTTCAGAACCGATGTCGGCAATACAAGAAAATAACGCCAACGATGTTGTGATCGGCTTTGAGGGATTTCAGGTGGACCCTGAGAGTAAACACAAGTAAGTTGAATAATTAAGGCCCCATTATGCCCCCAAAATGCTCTAAAATGAATTTTTATTTCTCAAAAGATTTTTCATTTTTGGTGTCATGCTACAGTTCCAAATAATTACCGATTGGCCAATTACTTGAACCATTTTCTGCTTCTGTTGTCTTTTTGGAATTTATTATAGTTAAAGTGATTTAGTATTTTGTATGGAAGTCAAAATACTACGCTGTTTTCATTTTGATACTTTCATGACAAATAATTTCAGATTCAGTGCTACTTTCTTCAGGTGATAAGCATTTAACATGCTCTAAAACCATTATTTAAATGTTACAAAACTCATGTTGCCATTTCTATAAACGGGAAAAAATCATTCCTTTTTAAAGCATAATGTGCCTTTTTTAAATTTAAAATTTCCATGAGACACACAGTACCTTCTTACCGTTTCTTTTTTCATTATTGCTATTTTGCGTAATTGACATTCGGTTAATATGCAACAACCACAATCAAACACATGCGAGTCTTTTGTCGAAATAAATCTTCGCCGAATATGTCTATTTTGAGGAGGTTAATTTGAATTAAAATGTATATGATAGCTAATATCTCATTTTAACTATGATTAGATTTAACAGAAAGACATAAAATTGTTCAAAATTATTTCATTGGAAACAAAAATTGTTCAAAATTATTTCATTGGAAATATATAGAATCACAATCCTTCACAATAGTTATATTTCCGTACATTTAAAGCGGCCTTCAGCTTTTCTAAAGGTTAAATATATTATTCCTAAATAAATCGTTTCATATAATTGTCAAATCACAGAATTAAGATGGAAAAGAAATATACATTAAACAATAAGGAAAATTTAGGAAAGCCCTTGATACCTCTAATAAACCGGTCCGCTATATATAAACGATTCGTTTCCCGATCTTCTATTTTTAGAACCGAACGTCATTGACGCGCTATAAATAGCTCTCGTGGCGCCGTTTCGATGAAGGCCTAATAAACAGTGATATCATGCACTTTTTCAAGATAAAATTACTGAAATACTTAGTTTGAAACAGCACGGTCTCTTTTTTTCAACCAAAAAATAAAGCAGAAGGCCACCTAAAAGAACAACACAGTCTGTTTTTTTTTCAACCAAACATGAAAGCAGAAGGCCTCTTTAAAGGACAACACAGTCTCTTTTTTCAAGACAAACATGAGATCAGAAGGCCACTTTAAAGGTTGCTAATGGTATCATTAATACAGTATAACGATCGTGAGGAAATAACATAACATCTATTATGTATCAATATATTATAGCGAGAATTGGAAGAGAAATGAAAGTATAAATCTCTTATTTTGTAAATGAGATTTTTAAAGGTCTATTGAGTCTCTAAAGATTACTACAAACACTTCTTTTATGCTTGAAAAATAGCTTTCTGAATATATTATGGGGGAAAATTGTGCGACCAGTCTTTCTTCTTGTTTCACAGATGATAACAACTAAGTTTTTTTTAATGTTCCGTTCCATGTGTAGAGTTGTATAGACAAAGTGGACATGGGGAAAAACAAAGTGTATAACATAATACGTATCTAAATACTAGTAACACACAATTTAAAATGTGAGTTGTATGATTGCCGTGAAATATTTTTGATAAATACTGAATACATTGATGGTGGTAAAAAGTTTATTTAACATTGCGCAAATACAAGCGTGAGTTTAATATGGTCAACATGCCATGTCAATTTTGCTCATAATGTGTATAAATCTTTATTTCTGCAGCAAAATGTATTTTTTTAAGTCTGGAAAAAAAATCAAAATGCATGTATTAAAGAAATATGTCAGTAAATTTCGTTAAAAGTGAATGCTGCATGCACACAATAAATGCTAAATGGTTAAAACCCCACTTAAAATAACTTAAAATAACAGCATAACATTTTGTTCCGGAACATTTTATTCTGTTTTCATACAATATTCGTGAGTGTTAAATAACAGAGACATTCTATGTTGCAATACTTGTATATCGACCAAAAGATTATGGAAACTTTAATATATTACTGTTAATAATTGTTATAAAATATTTCATTAAATATAACTTTTTACCCTTATAGATAATGTCCTCACATATTCTTGTTTTGCTCTATTTACCCAATATGTTCTTGTTTTGACCTACTGAGCGATAGTAATTATGAGTACGAAAGAGTACGAAACTATTGAGTACCGACTGGAATCATCTATTTTCACTCTTACAAGCAAAATATTTTATTTTTGACTTATAATTAAATAAAGTAGATATAGAAATAAGTAAAAATCTCAATTTGTTCATATATGTTTAATCAGTATAACGTATAATGAATGGATGTGTAAGAATTTCTGCAGTTGGTCTGCTTTGGGTACTTGGACTGACCTACGTGAATACACTGTTTTCCCCTTAGCTTTCACACACTGCAATAGTAGCGTTCAAAGAATTCTACGATTGACCATGATAAATTCACAGTTTAGACAATTAAAAGTCTTGTTGGCACGCAGAATCGAACTGTTAATATTAACGAGCAAAGCAACTATTCGGACCACAAGGTTGATTCGTAAGTTGCAATTTGCAAGGCAACATGCGTACTGGCATACAAACTTGTAAATGCACAAGCTAATTAATATATTTAACCAATGGAATGTGTACTCTTAAAATCTTCTTTACAATATACCAATCACTTTAACGTTCATAAGATGTAATCATGAAAATCTGCACATTGTTAGTGATTTTGGCTTACATTTTTGAGGACTATATATGTACTGCGCAGCAGTAAATCAGAGTTGGTGATTTGGTCATTTTCTGTAACTCTAGAATCTCAAAATATAACTAAAGCAGATTGCCGCACAAAAAATAAATAAATAAATATCGTCCAACAATGATTTATCTAAACTGTCTACAGTAGAAATCCACATCAAAGGAAATGTCAAAGGATTTTCTAGAATTGGCAACATATTTATCTGACAGTCTGAACAACGTTAGGATGCTATTTGTAGCTTCACATAAATCACGTGACTTTCATTTATCTCAAATTCTTAAGACAATATTGAACTTTTTTTTTATCTTTGATCAGTTGTGATCCATGCGAAACACGTCAAATGTAAAAGTAATTTACGCCCTTAAAACCGTCTTTTATACTTAAATAATCCCACAGACACATTGTTTATTAGTTCCAGACATACCTTTGAGCTATTTAATTTCTTAAAGAAAGTGCATGCCGTTCAATTCACTTAGTCACGCAATCGCGTTCTTTTTCTTGTCACGAGCTGATTTAAAAGCAGACAGACGCCCGATTTATTTCGTTTAATAAATTCGTGATGTATATTCCAGTCGAGTCAGTTTATACACGTGTAAAGGCGATATGGGAACCTTAAATAGAAAAGACATAAATAGAAAAAAGAAATTCTGTGTTTTAAAAGTATGTGTCTTTGAAAAGAAGCCTACGAGAGGTCTTTTAGCTGCGACAGTGACTAAAATGTTTAAAGGGACTCCACTGAGGTGTTTTGGAATGATGGAATGGACTAGAAACATTTTTGTAAACCATTTGATGAAGGTCTGAACAAATAACTTGTGTACAAATTTTCAGACCATTCTCTCACCCCGTTTTCCAGTAAATTCTTTGCAAAAATACCAAAAATCAGATTGGGCAAAGAATCACATAAAAAATTGATTTTTAATCAACTTTCTTTATAATCCTTCTTAGATTTTTCCATTTTAAGTACTTCATTTGATCTATGCAAAAATTTCAAATTTTATATTTTTAGTCTTTCTGACCTCAGTGGAGTTCCTTTAATATATACAATGTAGTAAAAAGTAATTTTGTTACGCATTTATTAAAAGAAATGACTGGCAAAGATACTTTTAAATGAGTAATCTGGTTAAGGTCTATGTGATTATATTTACATAATTATGGTGTTGGTACAAAATGAATAATATAAATAACAATAAATAAATAAATAAATAAATAAATAAATAAATAAATAAATAAATAAATAAATAAATAAATAAAAATAAATAAATAAATAAATGAAATAGAACCAGTTTTTGTAGAACTATTATTATCATTATCATCATCATTATTATTACTTATCATTATTATTATTATTACTATTACTATTATTACTACATTGTATTATTATTATTATTATTACTACTATTATTATTATTATCAATGTACTAATCTAATCATATTGGATTAAAAACCATGTCTTTTTGCAAAGGGAAGATAAAAAATACATAGGGGGCTAATATGAAAGCTTTAACATACAGAATTTCAAAATTGCAACAAATTCTTTAATGAAGTATTACTACTTTATTCCATATTTATGCTAATTTTCATGAAAATTTTGAAAAATTGTTCAAAAGTAAAATATTTTCAAGTGATCAAGGAAAGTAATTAAGTAAATTTACACATTGCAAAGGGCTCTTTCTGTCCACGTAAATTACCAAATAAATATAAAAACATGCCCACTATAAAACGTTTGAACAATATAGTTTTCAGAGTTTTTGCTGTACCAACGTAATAAATTAATTAACCTTACCCGATTGGCTACGAAAAATTATCCATTTTTTGAAGAAAAAAAAAACATTGTTATTGGTCTGCTTGATTAAATTTACTATATATCATATTGCTGTAGGATCGTTCGTGCAAATTTGGGGTTTAAGAGGAGCTTTTGTTAAAAATTGACATAATAGCTTATTATAAGCTGACTCTGACCTTCAGTAGAATGTACTAATAATAATGTGAAATCACACGCATGTACTTAAACATATTACTTTAATGCAAAGCATTATTATTTTAATGTAGCAAATCACGCGACAGCTTAACGGCGGGCACGTTCTCAATATAAGAACCTTTGAGCCAGTCAAAGAGATAAAACACGTTGCCAGAGATAAGTAATAGTTATGTTAAAGCGATGAGACAGTTATGCCATGATATTTCTACATAACAGTATAACTATTACTTATCAACGAAATGTAAAATCGAATTAATTAAATAAT